GTTCTCTGTACTCACATGAGTCATCTTTTCTTTCATTGAGATGGTAAATTCTTTATGAAACTATGTCTCTGATTCCCTTATCTGATGATTACATTCCAAAGTGAGATACCCATCCTTCCTTCTTTGAATTTTTATGGCTCTATTTTCTGACTAGTTCTCTGGTAACTGCATTTTCAAGGAGTGATTTTGAAAAACAAAGGCCATACACTGGTCCACAATTTTGTCTTGGATGGAGATTGGGATAGAGTTGACTGTATGTAAGAAGTTTGTCAAAGGAGAATTTTCAGAATGCTATATATGGAAATGTTACCCCCTTAGCCATTGACAGTATTTGGCATTGGGTAGCCTCGCCTAAAAGCACCCATACCTTAGCCAAAATGACAGAAGTCCCATGTATGACTGAGGAAGGCAGTCCATTCACTTGGGCACGTGGACACAATTAGCATGGAAGCAAGGAAGCGGGTGACTTGAATTGTGGAGCGATGCTAGCTTGAATAATGAGTCATGGACTGGGCCATGTTTAGGCACAAATGTAATGTAATTCGGATGCTAAGGGCTCCTGACACATGCACAACATGTGAGGAAGTTGGGCATGTGCTTTGCAGATGGTGGCAGTTTTGGGCAGTTCTGTGCAATTTTTTGGCAAGTGCACAACATGTGGGATCTCTGTCAGATTCAAACAAACATGCAGACACCAGTTATAACTTCCCTGTCATCTAATCACAACAGACTTCTGGTAGCATTTGAATTACAGACACGTGCCTAGATAGTTGGGCTTGTAATTGCCACCCTGAACATTATAAATAGGGTGCTTGGGGTCTGTAGTGCAACAAGAGAGTTGACACATTTTTGTAAATAGACTCTAACGCTAAGTTTCTTATACTTTATTGAGAAAGAAATGTTTGGTTATTGCCTGTAAATTATGTGTGTCTTGCCTGTGTGTTTACTTACTGTCCATTCTCTGTTCTATGTGCATTCTGTATGCATTCTGAGTGTTTGGCTGAGATTAAGTGTTAGATCTTAGTTCCATCACGAGGTAAAAATTTGGTGAGAAATTTAATCCCGTGACAATTGGTATCAAAGTTTCAGTTTGAGACCATGGCTTGTGGAAACGTTGCTGAATTGCGAGAACGTATTGATCGTCTCGAAGATTTCCTGGGCGCCCCTCAGACTGATGGTGCAACTAACGTGGTTGTGCAGATGGAGCAGCACGCTATTCAGATTGCGGGATTATAGATGGCTTTTGATAGTTATGTAACTAACACCGATGCAAATATTGTAACAATAATGGAGGATATCATGTCCCTTACAGACGTTGTCAAAACGAATCTGAAGGATCTTGAAGATGAAGTATCCTTGGTGAAGAGGGCCATGAATTCTCGACCTGCTATGGGTTATACGTCTTAAAAATCAAAGTTCCTAAACCAAAGGCCTTTGGAGGCACCCGAAGCGCTAAGGATCTGAAGAATTTACTCTGAGACATGGAGCAGTACGTTAAGGCGGCTCATGTGCCTGATGGAGAGAAAGTGACAATCACCAGTATGTATTTATCAGGTGCTGCCAAACTGTGGTGGCGGACTCGGAATAAGGACGATGTCTTTGCTGGTCATCCAAAGATCAAGACATGGGTGACCCTGAAAAAGGAATTAAAGGATCAATTCCTCCCTAGCAATACGACCTGGATTGCTAAGGACTCACTTATAAAGTTGAAGCATACCGGAACAGTTCGTGATTACGTGAAGGAGTTCAGTTCGTTGATGTTTGACATCAAGAACATGTTAGAGGAAGACAAAACTCTTCAACTTTATGTCCGGACTGCAAGGTTAGGTACAGGCTAAACTGCGAAGGCAAGGGGTATGTAATCTGCCCACTACCATTTCTGTAGCAGATAGCCTTGTTGACTTCAAAATGGGCGGCAGCCAAGGCCCTTTTGAGAAAAAGAAGAAGGATGGTGGTGGCATGAAAAATAAGGCTGACACTTTCAAAGACGCAAAGAAAGCGAATTAGAAGAAAAAGAAGAACGTTATTGACTTTAACAAGCTAGACAACAACCAGAAGAAGAAAACTTTTGATTCTGGCTGTTTTCTCTGTGGCGGTTCCCATCTTGTTACAGCAAAAGTGGCATTGATGCTACATCTGAACGGAATGCTGATCACGGATGAGAAAATACCTTGCTTTGTGCCTGCAGTCATGGCAGACCAAAGCAAGAAAGATGGAAAGCAGAAAGTGGGAATGTTGTCCGCTATGCAAGCAAATGCTGAGTTGAAAAAGGGTGAGATGACATACCTTGTAGTCTTGGTGAAGATCAAACCAGATGTGCTGGTTGAAGTACCTGATGTTGTGGCAGATGTACTGGGCGAATTTGCTGATGTTATGCCCCCTAAACTCTCAAATAGCCTTCCACCTAGGCGTGTAATTGACCACAAGATAGAACTGGATCCTGGTGCAAAGCCTTCAGCCCGTGCCCCTTACTGGATGTCGCCAATGGAACTGGAAGAATTGAGGAAGCAATTGAACGAGTTGCTAGATTTTGGCAGCATGAAGCCATCCAAAGGCGCCATACGGAACCCTTGTTTTGTTCCAAAAGAAGCAAGATGGATCATTGCGTATGTGCATCGACTATCGTGCTTTGAACAAGGTGACTATTAACAATAAGTACCCTATTTCGAACGTTGCTGATCTATTCGACAGACTGTCCAAGGCCACTTTCTACACAAAACTGGATCTTAGGACTGAGTATTGACAGATTAGAATTACAGAAAGGGATAAGCCAAAAATTGTGTGTGTGATGCGTTACGGTTCTTTTGAATTCCTTGTAATGCCGTTTGGGCTCACTAATGCCCCGATAACTTTCTGTAATCTAATGAATGATATTTTTTACGATTACATTGATGTCTTTTTNTAGAGGACCGGAGGAAAATGTCCTGCTGTATATTGGTTTGCCCGTTCCAAGCAGAAGCTGCTTGACGAGACAAAGGACAACTTGGCCAAAGCTGCCCGACGAAGGAAGAAGTATGTTGATCAAGGCCACAGACTACTGAAATTTCAAGTTGGTAATCTAGTTTTGCTGAAATTGACTCTTGCATTGTGGAAAAGGATTAACAACAAAGTAGTACACCGTGGGCTGGTTCCTAAATATGATGGCCTCTTCGAGGTGATGAAGAAGGTCAGGAATGTTGCCTATCACTTGAAGCTGCCTGATCGATTGAAAATTCACCCAACTTTTTATTTGAGTTTTTCGAAGCCTTTTCAGGAAGACTTACGGAATGCTGGAATGAAGCAATCTAGGAGGGCTTCGCCTATCATCAGGAAACAGTTTGACAGAGAGGTCGACAAGATTCTTTCTCATCGGACCATGGGTCAGAGTAAGAAGAATTACATAACTGATTTTCTGGTGCATTGAAAAGGGGGTTCCGAGGTAGACGCAAGTTGAGAATGAGATATGATTCTTTGGCAGTTTGAGAAACAGATCAAAGAGTATTGAGACAACATCTCAACGAGGACGTCGAGCTCTTTTGGTGGGGGTGGTTTGTTATCTCTTTAGCCATTGACAACATTTGGCATCAGGTAGCCTCGCCCAAAGGCACCCATGCATGATTGAGGGAGGCAGTCTATGCACTTGGGCACGTGGGCACAAGTCAGCATGCAAGCAAGGAAGCGGGTGGCTTGAATTATGGGACGATACTAGCTTCAATAATGAGTCATGGGCTGGGCCATGGTTAGACACGAATGTAATGCAATTCGGATGCTAAGGGCTCCTGACACATGCACAACATGTGAGAAAGTTGGACATGTACTTTGCAAATGGTGGCAGTTTTGGGCAGTTCTGTGCAGTTTTCTGGCAAGTGCACAACATGTGGAATCTCTGTCAGATTCAAACAAGCATGCAGACACCAGTTATAACTTCCCTGTCATCCAATCACAGCAGACCTCTGGTAACATTTGAATTATAGACATGTGCCTTGGCAGTTGGGCTTGTAACTGTCACCCTGAACATTATAAATAAGGTGGTTGGGGTCTGTAGTGCAACAAGAGAGTTGACACGTTTCTGTAAACAAACTCCAAGACTGAGTTCCTTATACTTTATTGAGAAAAAAAAATTTGACTGTTGTCTGTAAATTCTGTGTGCCTTGCCTGTGTGTTTACTTACTATCCATTCTTTGTTTTATGTACATTCTATGTGCATTCTGAGTGTTTGGCTGAGACTAAGTGTCGGATCTTAATACTATCACGAGGCAAAAATTTGGTGAGAAATTTAACCCCGTGCCAGGAATTGTGGTGGGGGAGAGGCTGACAAGTAATTTGTGTAGCTATTGTTTGCTACTGTTCATGCTGGACTGGGTTATGATAAGGTTGGGTGCAAGTCTGGTCTATAGCTACCGGGCATATTTCTTTGCATTGGGTTATTTGGTTTGCTTTAGATGTTGGGTTGGGTGGGTCTGTCAACTCAAATTGGGCTTGGTAGTGGGCAGTAAGAATGGGTGTCGGCATTGGGCACATGGAGAAGGAGCACATATGGTGCGTGCTAGTACAATCCAAATACCATTTCTGTCGAAGGATTTTATATGTGGATTGCTTGAGAAAATCCTTTGTGCACTCAAAACATGCATATGGAAGAATATGTAGTAGAGTAACGCTAGTTAAATCAGTTTTGTTTTATTGGCTACAGGGTGTCCATGTTTACGTCAATTACTCCTTTGAGCTTAATGATTGGTCACCGTAAATGGAGTAAATCTAGAGCATGTCTTCAAAGGAATAAGGGTGACTAATCCTTAAGGGGTGTGAAAAATAATTAAATCTAAAATTTTTAGGTTACTAAAGAACAAACTCAACTACTCGACTACCTCTAAGGGGTAGTTAAACCAAATTTACATATGAAGTAAGTCTATTTTCAACCCAATGACATTGATGAATTTGGTTCGTAAATTTGGGCTAAATAACATTATTGTATTTGAGATCGTTGTCCGATTCTACAAGTTGACAGGGTCATGTGTTGAATATCACATGAGTAGTTGCATCTTGATGTTATTAGCTATGTTTTGAGCATCCATGGCAGCTCCATACAGTCCTCTCCTTGCCGGTCCAGCACAATACAGTCCCTTCTTCCCTTTCCAGTTGTTTGGGAAACTCGCCTTTGCAATCCCATTATCGTTCAGAAGATAATCGTCTCCCTGTTTAATTAAATTAAATTCGATAAGATATATCATTCCATTTTTTTTAAACAAAAGCTATAAAACTAATAATTGAGTCGAATTACTCGGATTTGGCCCGGGCTTGATTCGTGTATTAAACATACTGCGCTTGAATAATTTTTTGGAAAACAAGCTTCGACTTGAGCTTCCAGAATTTGATTCGTTTATATGTTAAATAGTTGAGTTACTCGGATTATTTTTTGAAAGAGCCGAATTAGAATAATTTATTAGACTCGTTTAAAAAAATGAGTTCGATAGACTAGACTCGATTATTAACACCAATTGAAACAAAAGTAAAATAAATAGTCATGTGTGAACATGGGAGGTACCTTGAGCCACTTGTTTGTTGATCTTTTGAAGCCAGTGGCAAAGACAATGGTATCAAATGGATGTGATTTGCCGTTCTCGAAAACCACAACGTTGGCTTTTGTGCTTGCTATTGCCGGCAACACCTAGGTATCGATACATACATGTAAACAATGTAAACAAGCAGAAGGGCCCATATGGTTGAGGAGCGAGGAAATGGCTCGAAGAGAGTAATGCTGAATAGATTTAAAAATTAGACTTAATAATTATAATTATTAAATAAGTAATGAGTCTCAATAAATATTAAAATATATAATAAAATTAGTCTAATTTTTATGTCCGTGTAACATTGCTTGATGGAAGGTGGTACCTAAATCTCACCAGACTTGATTTTCTTGGCGGTCCCCATGTCAGGGTCCTTGCCATACTTTACTTTCAATGAAAAGAGACCCTCTCAGGTAGGTGTGTTTATTCAAATCTACGGGTAGAAAATATTTTTTTTCTTTTCTTATTTGATACTTTGTGGAAGAGTTTTTTTTTGGCTTATCCTACCCGACAGGTGTGGTATTCTTACCCGACTTTCTATCTGATTAATCGGGTAGGAAGTCAGGTAGAAAATCAGGTAAATATTTTTGTAACAATTAATTTTTGGATCATTTTAACAATTTAATTAAATAACATGCATCAATTTAACAACACAATAAATCAATTAACACTAAAATCTAAAATAATTATAACAAAAATTATAATAAAATACAAAAAAGTATGAACATCAATCCACCATAATTGTTACACAAATATAATAACAATTAATTTAAGTTTAAACTTTAAACCATATGAAATACAATAAAATCATAATTGCTCCGCCTGTGATTAGGATTTAAGGTTTTTTTAGTTTATATATATATTAAAAAATTATTGCGGGTAGGGTAAGATGGGAATGCGGAAATGAATGATTATTCTGCATTTTTATCCGAAAATTGTCAAAAGACCAAAAATTCTTCTACATTCCTATTCGATTTTTACGACTAACCGTTTAATAGGGTAAGATAGGATCGAGTAGAGTAAGAACTTACGGCCGATCGAAAATTTGAACACCCTTACTCTCGGGCCTTTCAGTCCCATACTTTGTGAGGTCTCCATAACTTAGCTTGCTAAGCAACACCAACAATGAGTCAACCAAGTTATGTCGAATATATTTCAGCAAAAATAACCCTATATTATACCATTTCCCTTGAGACTACGTTAACCTGCATCATCCACAAAAATTAAAAAAACAAAACATAACTAATCTTCCTATTAAAAAAAAAGGTCTAATTCTAATGCACGAAACTCATATCACATAAAATCTGAAGAGAGTGAATAATAATTAATCATTTTTTAACTATTAGGGTGGTGTAATAATCAATATGTCTTTTTATAAGGAAAAGGTCTTAAATTTGATATTTTTTACACTTTCTAAGGTCTAATTATCCTTATTCTTTAGAAGACACGTTTTCAAACCAACTCAAGTTACGATAACCGATTCAGAACTCGAGAGAATAATCGATACAAGCTTGAATATCTTATAAAAAAATTAAAAATTACACTCTTCTTGCATGAAAAGAATCTTTTTCCTTCAACTCGTGACATTTTTGAAAAGCCAAAAAGGGAGAATAGAAAAAAAAAAAAAAGGGAGGAACAACTACTAGGTTGTAATTCCTGAGTGAAACCCTGAGGATCCCCAACTAAGAAATATTCGATTAGAATTATAACTATTAATTCAAAAAAATAATTTGTCATCATAACACCACTAAAATTAAGTAGTAAATAATCACATGAGAGTTAAAGACAATTCTAAACGGGTACAATTTATCACTATACCACCAGCTCGGATGGTGACGAGATTAAAATGGGGCAATTTCACCTTTAGATCAAGTCTCCTCTCTCCCTTTCACTATATATATTCATATTTGTATATCTTGTAAAGTCATCCAAATTCCAAACATGAAAAAAAGGTAGATTTGAAATAACTACCGGGCTTCGGACAACTATGGAGGTCTTGGCACCAAAATTTGATAGGTCAAGTGCAATTTCCATACCAGAGTTTCCAGACCCAACAACCAAAACGTTTCAGCCACGAAACTTATCTCCATTTTTATATCGAGTCGAGTGGATGACCTCCCCCGTGAAAGTGTTCAACCTTTCAACGTCCGGTACGAATGCGTCGGCTGTTTCTCCGGTCGCCACCACCAGAAACCTGCCGGAATATTCCTCTATCTCACCGGAACTGAGATTCATTGCCTTAACGTCCCATTTCTCTGACCCTCCATCGTAAATGGCTGATTCAACCGATCTTTTGTACAAAGGACTGATCTGACAATGAGAAACGTACTCATCCAAGTAGTGTAAGAAGTCGGTCTTTGGTACATATGTTGGGTAAGTACTGGGAAATGATATGTGGGGTAGCTCACAGAATTGCTTTGCCAAGTGAAGATGGAGGCGATCGTATGAGTATTTCTTCTTCCACAGTGAAGCAAAACAGTCTTCTCTCTCTAGAATTATGTACGGGATGGAGAGGTGTTTCAAGCAGGCGGCGGTTGCAAGGCCAGATGGGCCGGCTCCGACGACGATTGCCACTGGTTGTTGATTTTCCATGGCGGCCAAAGTTTCCGAAACCGTTTCTCTCATTTGCAGTCGAGGCTGGGCCGATGTCATGCTGGATTTGCAGCATTTGTCTGACCATGTGGGTGATATTTTATTTATTCTCTCATTTATTAGTTGGGCGCGTGAAATATACGAAATTTATGATGATTTTTTACCTTTTCTACTCCCACGCTACCTCTGGACAAATGAATTACTAATTGGTAGAATACATACACAGTATAGAGTTTTGGTCCCGAACCCGATTGAATCATATTCATAATTAAATTGTGTCACAATCAATGTCAACGAGGATCCTTAAAAGCCTACCATTGGAATCCAAAGATGAATGAATCATATTCTTGAAATGTCAATTTAGCCAACTATTTAGGCATGGGTCTTTGTCTGAGTTTCTTTTCTTATTGTCCAGGAATTTGCCCCAAACTGTGGGCTTTTTTTCAGTCTCTTAGTACGTGGATAGTTATTTCTGGATGATCATTACACCTATTGGAACTGGCATCACCGACTATTTCTTGTGACTTTCAGGTAGTTTGAATGATCCTATCATTCTGAATGAGCCACATGAAATATTTCAGTTTTTGTGGTACTGGTACCCCTCTAATTTCCATATACATCCCTAGCTTCCATTAATTTCTGTGTGATTACTCCCTTGTAGAGTAGGTGTAACAGCCTTGCTCTGATGCCCTGGAGAACAAACATTATAATATCATCTGCAAAAAAACAGAGGTGTTAGTTCAGGTCCACTCTTTTAGAGGCTTTCAGAACTCTCCATGTGCACCGCACCACACCACACAGCATGTTATTGTGATTATCCAGGATTGAGGCAAATTGATATCTGGTTTAGTATGATGGAAAAATAGAAGGATGAAAAATTAGGGAGATAAATAAAATATTATATTTGGTAAGAAAAGATGAAAAAGTGAATGAAATAACTTTCCTTTCAGCTCATCATAATCAATCCTCCAAAATCGGAAGGAAAGTTGATGAAAAATTAATTATTTGTATTGAGATGTATCTTATTTGTCTATATATTATTTATACATTAATTTTAAATAAAAATACAATGATAATATATATATATATATATTAAATAAAAATAAATAATAAGTAAATTTAAATTTAAATAAAAAAAATATTTTTTTCATCTTAATTAGGGGTGAAAATATTCGACTTTGAACTCGACACGAATTTTATAACACGAACTTGATTATAACTCGACATAAACTTAAAAATGATTTAACATGCGAACAAGAAATATAAAAGACTCATAATTTTATAACTCAACACGAATCTAATACGATATGACTTGATTGTCACCCCTAATATTAGACAAAAAAATTTAAAAAAAAATTGGTTATTTTTATTTTCCATACATCCAATCAAACACAAAGGAAGTAAAACGTATCATTCCTATTTTCTATCCTTGAAGGATAGAAATTGTATCTTTTTTACTTTCCGTTCCTCTTATCTTACTTTTTATCCTTCTTATCAAACGAAACATTAAGGTCTGTTGTTTAGGGTCATCTTATCCTGTTATAAGCTTGCTCTAAATCTACCTTTATTACATGCCTCCTCTTAGGTGATAATGACATTATAGTCACAGCACTCTGTGCTGAATAATTTTTGTATATAAAATATTAAATTTTTTTAGATATACGTGTTCCTAAATTAAGTATCATTTCAAGTTTATAAAAATTATGATTTTTCGCGCTCGTATTATATTATAGAATTCAAAAAATTTTGTTTACTCCTAACGATTTGTTGTTTTAATTATAAGAAAAAAAAGATAAAAATAATTCATTTTTGAAATTTATTTAATTTCGTTTCAACTTATAATTTATTAAATAAAATAACAATAATTATCAATATTTTAATCAATACTTATTTTTAAGGGTAACATAGTCCATTAAAATTTTTTATAGATATTGATATCTATACATACAGAATTAAAAGGCTTGACTCAATTTCGTAAAACTTTGTCTTATTTACATGTAATATAGTTGAGTTAATCAGACTCGGTTTGTTTTTGGTTTGGTTCATGTTCAGCTTATTTTTTAAACAAATTAAATTTAAATATTTTTTTAAACTCATTTAAAAAAATAAATTTAACAAGTTCCGATCAGTTATGGGCCCTCACTGCCACCTGGCTTGTAAAACAATTTTTCTTGCTGTTTTTGATTGGGGGTGTGTATCATATGGCAGTCACACGTGGTGCACGCAAAGCAACATATATTTTCTTCGTGGTTGTCGGCAATTGGCACATTTAGAAGGATTGACTGGATAAGTCGATGGAGCACATATGGTGCGTGCTAGAACAATCCAAATACCATTTCTGTACAAGGATTTTATATGTGGATTGCTTGAGAAAATTTTCTTGTTTTATTGGCGACAGAGTGTTCAAGTTTACATCAATTATTCTCTCCAATTTAATAATTAATCATCGTAAATTAAACCGATCTACAACATGTCTTTTAAAAGAATAAAGTTAATTAACCCTTAAAGGGTATGAAAAAAAAATTGAACTTGAGACTTGCGAGTTACTAGAGAACATACTTATCTATTGGACCACCTTTAAAGGATAGTTAAACCAAATTTGCATACGAAGTAAGTCTATTTTCAATCCAATGACATTGATGAATTTGGTTCGTAAATTTGGGCTAAATAACATTATTGTAATTTGAGATCATTGTCCAATTCTACAAGTTGACAGGGTCATTCATATGTGTTGAAAATCACATGAGTAGTTGCATCTTGATGTCATTAGCTATGTTTTGAGCGTCCAAGGCAGCTCCATACAGTCCTCTCCTTGCCAGTCCAGCACAATACAATCCCTTCTTCCCTTTCCAGTTGTTTGGGAAACTGGGCTTTGCAATCCCATCATCGTTCAGAAGATAATCGTCTCCCTGTTTAGTTAAATTAAATTCGTCAGAATATAACATCCCATTTTTTTTTAAAACAAAAGCTTAGACCAGAACCGATAATTAAGCCGAATTACTCAGATTTAACCTGAGCTTGATTTGTGTGTTAAACGAGCCGTGTGTTTGAACAATTTTTTAGAAAATAAGTTTCGGCTCGAACTCATAGAGTTCAGCTCGTTTATATGTAAAATAGTCGAATTACTCGAGTTATTTTTTAAAAGAGTCAAATTTAAATAATTTATTTGCCTAGTTTAAAATAATTAGTTTGATAGAATCGATTCGATTATAAGTAACAATACAGGACAAAAGGAAAATAAATAGTCGTGTGGTTGGAACAGGGAGTTTACCTTGAGCCACTTGTTTGTTGATCTTTTGAAGCCGGTGGCAAAGACAATGGTATCAAATGGATGTGATTTGCCGTTCTCGAAAACCACAACGTTGTTTTTTATGCTTGATATTGCTGGCAACACCTAGGGATCAATATATACATAAATTGACAACTTATATATATTATTCTTAGACTCTATGAATATTTTGAAAAGGTGTGCATATTCAACAAGAAATGAATTCAACAGCTATGCAATACGTATTTAATTATATACAATTATAAATGAGTCAGGGTGTAAACAAGCAAGAAGGGCCCGCATGGTGGAGGAGAGAGGAAATAGAAGGTGGTACCTGAATCTCACCAGACTTGATTTTTTTGATGGTCCCCCTGTCAATAACTGCGTACTTGCCATACTTTACTTTCATTGAAAAGGGACCCTCTTGGGGCCTTTCAATCCCATACTTAGTCAGGTCCCCATAACTTAGCTTGCCAAGCAACACCAACAAAGAGTCAACCAAGGTATGTCGAATATATTTAAGCAAAAATAACCCCATATGTATCATTTCCCTCGAGGCTACGTGAACCTGCATCATCCACAAAAATTTAAAAAAAAATTAAAACATAACAAATCTTCCTTAAAAAAAAAAAAGTCTAATTCTAATGCATATAAACTCTGAAGAGAGTGAAATATAAGTAATCTTTTTTTAACAATTAGAGTAATTCACCGGTTAAATCCAACTACCCTTATTTCTTAGGGAACATGTATTTAAATTGACTCAAATTACGGTGACCAATTCAAAACTCGAAAGAATAATTAACACAAATATGAATACCTTACTAAAAAAAATAAAAATAACTCTCTCCTTGAATGAAAATAATATTTTTCCCTCAACTCATGACATTTTTTTTTTGATCAGAGTAGAAAAATGGGGAGGGGCAATTACTAGATAGTAATTCTTGAGCATGACTACGAGGGTTTCTTATTATGAAATGTCCAGTTTGAATTATAAATATTAATTTGAGAGGTTAGTTCGTCACTATAGTACAACTAAAACTAAGTAACAAATCGTTTTGTTATTGTGAATCAAATCTTAATAACCACGTGTAAGTCAAAAACAAACTTAAATGAGTACAACTCATCACCGGATCACCGGCTTGATGGTAACTCATGACATTAAGATCAAGTCCAAATTCCAAACATGAAAAAAGGTAGATTTGAAATAATTACCGGGCTTCGGACAACTATGGAGGTCTTGGCACCAAAGTTTGATACGTCAAGTGCAATTTCCATACCAGAGTTTCCAGACCCAACAACCAAAACGTTTCTGTCACGAAACTTCTCTCCATTTTTATATCGAGTCGAGTGGATGACCTCCCCCGTGAAAGTGTTCAATCCTTCAACGTCCGGTATGAATGTGTCCGCTGTTTCTCCGGTCGCCACCACCAGAAACCTGCCGGAATATTCCTCTATCTCACCGGAACTGAGATTCATTGCCTTAACGTCCCATTTCTCTGACCCTTCATCGTAAATGGCTGATTCAACCGATCTTTTGTACAAAGGATTGATCTGAAAATGAGAAACGTACTCATCCAAGTAGTGTAAGAACTCTTTCTTTGGTACATATGTTGGGTAAGTACTGGGAAATGATATGTGGGGTAGCTCACAGAATTGCTTTGCCAAGTGAAGATGGAGGCGATCGTATGAGTATTTCTTCCACAGTGAAGCAAAACAGTCTTCTCTCTCTAGAATTATGTATGGGATGGAGAGGTGTTTCAAGCAGGCGGCGGTGGCAAGGCCAGATGGGCCGGCTCCGACGACGATTGCCACTGGTTGTTGTTGCTTTTCCATGGCGGCCAAAGTTTCTGAAACCCCCCCTCTCTCTCTCTTTCTCTCTAACACCAAGAAGAATGAGAAGTAGGATGGTATATATAGATGGGTTTGGCTCCTCAATAACTTTCTAAACCAGATATTCAGGTCAACAAATCTTATCTTACTTGATATTTTGTTGATGTAAAAAGATGAGAACGGCGACTTCTGGCAAGTTCCAACTCAAATGTCAATGTTACTTGTGGTATAAACAGGAGAGGAGAAAAACGCGGCGGGGGTGGGTGGGGGTGTGTGGATGTTCCTCTACAGATATCTAATTGTTTTTTATGTTATCATATTACAAGGGGCGGTTGTCATCATTTTTACCCTAGTAATTGAGTCATGTGTTAGATGATAAATAAATTCAACCCTAGCAAAATAGAAAAGAAATAAGATGTTTTATGGAAAATTTCAGATTAAGAGAGATTTGCATGTCTAGACAAGATCATAGAGAGAGAGATTCATGTCCAGACAAGATGAGAGAGGGAGAGGGAGAGGGAGAGGGAGAGGGAGAGAGACAGAGAGGTATGCATGTTTAAACTAGATTAAATGCATCTATTGTTTTTTGAGTTACTAATAAAGAGTCTGGATTTTCTATGTATTCTTTAATTAAAGGGAAAATTTTTATTTTTCTAGCTAAAAGATACAAAAATTATTAGCTTGTCCTCTGAAAGATTAATTTTTTTAATTACTCTCTCAAAGAAAATAAATATGCTGTAATATGGTCAATTATTTTATTTTCGTTTATTTGTTCGTCCATTTTATGATGTATGATTGATTGAATTGACATAAAACAAATAAACGATCAAATAAAAAAAAAGTAGACTGCATTTCAATATTTTTATTTCTTTGATGAAGTAATAAAAAAAAAATAATTATTCAAGAGACAAATTAAAAATTTTTGTACCTTTCAAAAAAAGATTTACGCTTAATTAAACAGCTAAATCTCAAACTATCGATCTTGATATGAATGCGGATGTTTTTTTTATAGAATTGTACGCAACTTACGGGATTGAAGTTGGAATGCATGGATACTCGATTCTTTAACCCCACAAGACGAGTAAATATGTCCCCCTTTTTCCATACAAAGTTACATGATCTTAATCAAATAGGGGTCTACTGGTAATTCCAATGAAGTAACATGAAAGCAATGGTCTCCCTCAACCGTATCATCTCATTCAATTCTTTAAAAGCGTGGCCTTCTTTGCAACCTACTTTTCAAGCAAATCAAAGACTGGTTACCTTCGTGGACGGGACCTAGTCAATCATAACCTTATGTGTTTATAGGATCCAATTGTAAATTTATATGTTTTTAACTCTTAATTTTAGTAATTTTTTAGAACTACTTCATGAGAAATTTCATCACTCCCTCGTGAATATTCTAGTTTCAGAGTGAACTATCCGTTTTTGATTAGATTAGAGAAGAGATTAATTGAGGTGCGTATAAATTGGTCTGGACAACCCTGATTATTGAAAAAAAAAATTAAAAATAAACCCCCATTGGGAATACTATAGAGGTGTTTGTTTCGCAGGATAAAGGGGGATTAAAATGGGGATTGGGTTCAAGTTGTCAATAGGACCCACTTATTCTTGCTTTGGCTATGTAAAGTTGGGTGGGATTTTCGTTGCAATTGAAAAACTCGGCCGTAGCTTTTGCACCCCAATATCCCCTCTAAGCTAGACTATTAAAACCCATGAAAACTTTGGTATTAACAAGCTCTCATCGAGATTGGTCCTGAAATTACTAAAATAACCCTCAACGATAATTTTCTATATCTACTATCTCTTGNCTCTCATCGAGATTGGTCCTGAAATTACTAAAATAACCCTCAACGATAATTTTCTAGGTTTTATCTACTATCTCTCGNAGGACCCACTTATTCTTGCTTTGGCTATGTAAAGTTGGGTGGGATTTTCGTTGCAATTGAAAAACTCGGCCGTAGCTTTTGCACCCCAATATCCCCTCTAAGCTAGACTATTAAAACCCATGAAAACTTTGGTATTAACAAGCTCTCATCGAGATTGGTCCTGAAATTACTAAAATAACCCTCAACGATAATTTTCTATATCTACTATCTCTTGTCACTTTCCTCTTTCCCAAGCTACACAGACAACACCTCCACCAGCGACCAAGCACCACCAGCGCCCCACCCTTTTTCTATCTGCCTCTTCATTGCAACGACACCACAAACAACACCACAAGCATCGGTGCCATCTGCACTCTCTTGGCTCTCTTTCTCCTTCTCTCATCACTTTCCTCTCTCTCTCTCCCTACATAGATCCACCATCACCAGCGACCAAGCACCACCAGCGTCCCACCCCTTTTCTATCTGTCTCTCCACTGCAACATCACCGTCACCACGAATGGCACCACAAGCATCACTTGTGCCACCTCCAACACCAACAAACCCCTCCTCTCTCTCTATGTCAGCTATTCTTCCCCTCACATCTCTCTCATTTATCTCTACACACACACAAAAATCCCAAATCCAAATCCCCCCTAACCATCTATTTTCCCTACNCTCTCTCTCTATGTCAGCTATTCTTTCCCTCACATCTCTCTCATTTATCTCTACACACACACAAAAATCCCAAATCCAAATCCCCCCTAACCGTCTATTTTCCCTGCCTAAACCCCCTCAATTTCCTCCCCCCCAAAAGGTCAACCCACCATAGGCATTGATCACCATATCGTGTGTAGATCCACCATTCTCTGTCACAGTGAACGTAGTGTTTGTCAAATACTTGTGGATTGTTGAAGCACAGGAACAATTCTTCGGATAAAAACATAGCCTCTGTCATTGCCCTCGACGGTTATATCTTCGGGTAAGACATCAAACATGTTTTGAAGTACAGATAGGGTCTGGTTTGAATTGGGTTTGAAGCCCAAGAATGATGTACACAATCAAGTAGTGTCCGTTTAATTCAGAAGAATTGGGTATGAAGAACAGAGAAGGTAAGCAGTACATGAAATACGAATAGTAGAAGCGGACTGAAGAGATGGGTCTATGCAAGATTCATTGTTTGATGAAAATATCGAATCTTTGCTAAATTTGATGGAATATGATTTGCTCTACATAGTCAGAAAAAGAATGGTAGTGGAATTTGGAGAGAGATTGAGAAACAGAGAGACATGAATGTAATGATAGTTTTGAGAGTGGGATGAATTGAAAATGGGGTTTAGAAGATCAACAAATTTGAGTGGGAATATTTGGAGGAGGTATTTGGATTTTGGAAGACCAGCTTCTGTTTTGTTTTTGGTTGTTTTAATTGGGCAATTCATATATTTTTTGTGATAAATTGTGTGTTGTATAAAATTCAATTAAAAAATTTAAAAATAATTTTTTGGCTTTGTTTTGTTAAAAAAACAATTTATTAAATTAAAATTTTATTCAAAACTAATTACCTAATCATTCTCATTTTGGATTGACATTATATCAATTTAAAGTTGGTATAGAATTAGATTAAATTTTTTACCAAGGGTGCAATAGTCATTTCACCATCTTTCCTCTACACCTGTGAATGGGGCCAACAAAACAAATATTTTTCATCTAAAAGTGGGATAGGATGAGATTCTATTTATTAGGATTGAATCAACTTGGATTATTTTACATTGGGTCAAATCCAATCCAACCCAATCCCCCCATGGGTAACCAAACACCCCCTATAGGTTTGAAGTTGGCCAAGGCATGCGAGTCCATAAAGGTCTTCCTAGGCTTTCTTACTATTAAAACCAAGGCAAAGGATTAGGTCGTTTAGAAAAATAAGTCTAAAAGATTCGGTTCGTTTATATCTAAAATAGTCAAGTTACTCTAGTTCAGTTTGAACTTAATTTTAAACAAATTGAGCTTTTAACAATTTTTTTTAAACTTGTTTAAAAACAAACGAGCTCAACAAACTTAGTTTTAAAAATCGGGTTGATCAATTCCCTAATTCCTAGCTTTTTCATTGAATCATGAGTATGTTAGCAATGACGCATAGCTTTGACTTGGTCATAAGCCTGATGAGTTGAACTAAGCAATGACGCATAACTTTAAAATTATCTAGAAGTCTTGCCCACGTCTCTGCATGTAAGAGCAACTCCAACCACGTTCAATAAAATAGCTATTCAAAATATATTTAAATATTGTATTCACTACTTTAGCTATTCACTTTTTAAAATTCACTCCAACCACGCTCTCTATTTTAACTAACTATTTCAACTAATTTTAACTAACTTTCAATAATATAANATCTAGTGTCATTTGATTTTGGCCCATATTTGTTCACTAATAATTCTATCATTATTTCATCCTCCAACACATATGTTAAAAGAATCTAGTGTCATCTGATTTACAACTTTTGGGCATTTCATCGAACACATTCTGGGCATGCCAAAATTGGTCTTTTAGCTAAACAAATGCAACATCCAATTCAAGAAAACCAAAGTTAATAACAGAGATATAGAAAAGGAAAAAAAAANCAATAATATAATTTAAAAATGCCACGTGATGTAACACGTAAGCACCATAATGATGTCGTGTCGTGCCATGCCATCAAATTTTAAATTTTACAACAGTCTTATTTGCAACGGCCATATTTACAACGNAATTTAAAAATGCCACGTGATGTAACACGTAAGCACCATAATGATGTCGTGTCGTGTCGTGCCATGCCATCAAATTTTAAATTTTACAACAGTCTTATTTGCAACGGCCATATTTACAACGGTTATATTTTTGAAAATGTATAAATAAGACCTCCCCCTTCTCATTGTCATACATCTCAAGTTTATTTTACTAGTATTGAAATTATATTTCTTTGCTATGGCTCATAATGGTGAATTGATGATGATTTTTAATGATTCTGACTCCGATGAGGACTTGGAGATGTTAGCGGTTGTTGCTATGGCAATGGAGAAACTCAATATTGAGAACAACTCCGCAATACGTCGTGGTTCTATTTAAGGTCATTCTGTTATTTTTCACAATCGAGTTGAAGGGCATGAAAGATTTTATCGCGATTATTTTGCAGAATGGCCTACCTATCCCCCAA